TAATTCCTCTCAGTTACATTGCCCTTGTTCAAGCTGGACCAGGCCTCCTACACCCTCCTCGCCATCGATTTTGGATCACTTGTTGTTCCCTTGGGTTTGTTAACACCCACTTCCATCCCCCCGCTCCCCCCTCTGCTATGCGCCCCCCCCAACCATTGGTCCTGTTGTTTTCTCCTCCAGATTGTTTATCCTGCCCATCTTATCTAGATAGACCGCAGAGACAATAATATGCACAAAAATAAGACAGAGCAAAACAAAGCAGCAAAAGAAAACAAAACAAAGCAACAAAAAAACAAGGACAAAGAAAAGCCTATAAATAGTTCAGGGTCTGTTTGTTGACCTTTAGGAGTATTTCCAGTTCAGTCTGATGGGCTGCCACCCCCTGGCCCTTATATTCCCTTGGGATTTCCTTGTTCTGCTCCCTTTGCTGTTCTGTTGCACACCCTTAGTGTTTCACCTTGGTGTGGTGGGGTCAGATCAAGCACAATTCCCGCATTGTGTCTCCAGTGTTGTCCCTCGTAACACTATGGGTCGGTCAGTGAAGGACGTTGTGTCTCATAGTGGGGTCAGCCCTATAGTCCTCTCTGCATTGGCTGCTCTGAGCCTCAGGGCTTGGTGGGTCAGGATGTGCTCCACTCGTTTTCCCTCCCGCTTATTTTGCTCCTGTGTGCTCTGATCAGACATGTCCCTCTCCCTGAGCTGTAGCTTCAGTGCTGTTCTCTGAAGTGAATTCTTCTGGGGGGATGAGGCCTTCTTAGGAGTCCATAAGGAGCTATCATCTTGGTGAGAATCTGTAATTAGGACAGTATTCTATAAGTACTGCATACTACCAGTGTCTGCATATGTTTGAGTATAGATGCATGTTTGTGTTGGACAAGCGTCCATAAAGTCAGTGCATGTTCTGTAAGGTCTGCCAGGGGGATGTGTACTTGCAGTTTCCCTAAGAGTAGAGCTACTATTATTGGGAGGTAAGATGAATAGATGTCTCTTATATCTACATATGTAAATATATAGATAGAGATATTTGAAGATCTGGGTGGCTAAGGGAAGGAACAAAGACTTCTGCATTGTTTACACTTTATGTCTGTGGAATTCTATACTACGCACAAATGTTGTCCATCAATAAAAATAAACTAAGTGGATTGAAATTTAAGATGTAGTCTCCTAGAGCGCCTTCCTCAAACAGCGTGTCGACATCACAAGAGAGCAAGCGTGTAGATATGCGCCACAGAGATGGTCCTTTGTAGCATGGGGGGGGGTGTTTGATAGTAACTTTTTATAAATGAATGTACTGAGAAGGCTCACTCTTTCAAGAAACCCTACTTATAAATCCATTTTAAAAGCACAACTTTCTTTCTTGAGAACTCTTAACATTTCTGAGATTATGGCCAAGAAGCTGTTGTTTCCTTTGTGGCATTACTTCCTAATGGAAATACCAGTTTTCTAGTGTAAACCATTGCCTGTTGTAAGCTTAATAAGTCAAATTCAAAGTGATGGTTCAAGTGAGAGAGGCATACCTTTGTTTTAATGCCCAGGTAATCGAAGCAGTTACGGTAAGAGTTGGGTTTCACTCGTGATGTTGAGCTACTGTTTGGAGGAGGCGCTCCAGGAGACTACCGTGGGGGACCAGCCTTCCCACAACCAAATGGGTCCCAGGGGCGGTTGTGTAATTGAGGGGTAAATGGAAGAGACATCAGACATGAGAGAGCATGCAAAGGCTCACCTCTTTCATGATGTCCAGAGTACTTTGTTCTCTCACAGACTTAGATTATCTCGGGCAAGCCAGCTCAGACGTAACAGGAAGGGAGTGTATTAAAAGCATACACATTACATGGAGGGGACAAGCTAGGTATACACGCTATAGGAAGGGGTTGTACTAGGGGCACACTTGTGACAGGAAGGTGCATACGTAACAAGATAAAGCAGGCGCTAGAGTTCAGATGGCAACCTAACCTTGGTCTTCTGAGTTGGGTTTTTCTTAGGTGTCTTTGGACTCTTCTCCAGGGGAACAATCTAGATCCTTATCAGAAGGGAGTGTCAATAGGGACAGACAATAAGGTCTGCTTGTTTTTGATGGCAGACCACCTTCAGGCAGATAGCCTTCAAGCAGTTGACCGTCAAGGGACAATGTGTTTGCAAACAGCACTTTAAATTTGGCATTATTGTGGGGGGAATAACTTTTTTTTACTTAGGAGAATGTGAGTGGGACACTTGTCCAAACCCAGGGACGTGAAGGTTCCCTCCGTGGGAGCCCTGGCCTCCCAGACTCTTTAATGTATGAATGTTGAGTTTGTGCACATACACACTTTGTCCCAGTTCTGTTTCCCACAGACTACATCTTACATTTCAGTCTGTTTAGAAAGTTTATTCATGGGGCTTTAAATGGAGAGAAAATGTTTTGAGAAACGATGTACAAATGCACTTTACACAATTGATGTGTATATGGATTGGGATAACAGTTGTATGAGCCCCTAATAAAATGTTAAAAAAAAAAGTTTATTCATTTATTTATGCACTATATATGTGCATAGTATAGAATTCCAAAGATATAAAGTATAAGCATTGCAAGTAAGTCTTTGTCCCTTCCTTTAGCTGCCAGATCCTGTGTGAAGTCATGCTTTGTCTGCAGTGTGATTGGCTTATTTGAAGTCTCCAATTAGAGTGAGGGGAGCGTGGTTTACTGACCAGGAAAACTCCCTTATGGGCCTGTCTCAGTATGAAGACAGGAGGATCTGAATGTGAAGATTCAGAGATGAAAGTGGAGAGCATGTGGAAGAAGCATCAGCGTTCTAGAGAAAGAGAGATTGCTATTGGAGGGCGGAATCATCTCCTCTGGTCAACCAGTGTCTCAGTGATCGTTTTTCTCAGCTCAGGCTACACTAAGCTTTTAACTAGACTTTGTTTTCTCTATTTTATTTCTTGTTTTAATGTGATAATAAGTAGAAATTGCCATTTTAAACACCAGAACAGATACTTCATTAACTGCATCACACACTTGGTTTAATTTCCAATTGCCTATGATAGCAACAGAGGAATTTTAATTGCTCATTCAGTTTAGCATCTTTTTTCTCTTCCTTTTCTCCCCACTGCTCTTCATAATTTTTCCAATTCTTACCCCATTTCTTATTAACAGACTTGGTAACTTTTTCTTTTTAACATGAAAAGGATTTGACTAGCAAATTATGGTACATCTATTTTTTACAAGACTGGTCATGTGTTGGCAGTGCCTAGATCAAAACGGGTAGTTGGTCTTAAAATTTGGCATTTTAATCCTTTACAGATTGTAGTCAGGTCTGGCTAGTGTAGTGCGCACAGAAAATAAAGTATTTCTGCATATAAGCAGTGAGACAATGGAAGAGATTATAATTTCATCAGTGCTTGATGGTGGAATTAGCAAACAAAACTTAAGTCACAGAAGAACTTCATATATCCTACTATCCAGTAAGTAAATTAGGTGATGATTCTTGATATGTCTTAATATACCCATAATTATACCAAATCTTCTTTGATTTTTCCTATTGACATCTCTGTTCTAATGACCACGTTTATAGCTGAGATGATTATCTGTAGCATCATTATTCTGTATGTAATAATGGATACATGTTTCTCTAGTCACTGATCATTTAGGTAAACTCATGCGAGAATACTTTGTAGACTACCAAGTTGATACTGAAATAATAGCAAAATTCTGCCAATTACGCTGCTGCTTTGGCTTATAAAAGAATAATCATACAACTCTTGGCTTTCTCAAGCTTTTAGCAAGGGACTTAGGAAGGAATTAAATTGACTGACATTTTTTACTATCTTTTCAATATTTATAATTGCTGAAGTTGCTACCTCTCATCATATTTTATGCTTAAAGAGTGTTTCTAGTCAGCCTCACCTTGCTACTCTTTAGTAACAACTAGGAATCAGTGCAAACTGTGGTTTTATCCCCACTTAGAATAGGATCCAAGTATAGACTGGTATATTTCTTTTGGCTTCTGCAGCCCTTCTTTAATAATTACTTTTCACAGTCATGATTATTATATAGATTTACTATATTATAAATAATCTGGTTTTTAATACTGAACTGAATTTTCTTCTTGTCACTAATACAAATGTCCTCTCTGTGAAGTCAGGATATATTTTATTTTCAGTTGCAGTTTTTCATTTATCATAGTAAATGAAAGAAGGATGCATTTGCGATATCATCGTCCATTGGCCCTCAGATACTACCAGTGGTGAGATGGATTATTATGTATGTCCAGGAAATAAAAATACTGCCTATTAGTGACATATCATTGACTGTACAATGTATCTTTCAGAGGTGCTTATGTAAGAACATTGGCAACCTGATGTTCTAGTCATATTACCACCTTAAGTTTATATAAGGCTTTGTAGAAACTACTATTACATATGTCATTATATGATATTATTGGCAAACCCAAGCTACCTGGTGAAGTGGATGGATGAACTTATCCCCAGTTTTCATGTGAGAATACTAAATTTTCCAGAGATGATGTACTTTTCCAACATCACATGCCTGGTGAACCAGGATCTCAAATCCACATTTTGTATAATCTAAGTTATGGTGAATGATGTAATATCCCCCACCTGACCCACATGCAGACACCCATACAATTATTTGGTCTAAATTTTTCTCTCTGTTGTCTAATATACATTTATTTCATATTTAGAGTTCACTGATTTTTAATGGTAATCTTGAGTACGATTACAATGGCTAATGTATGCTTTAATAGTAAGTCATATATGAAACTCTGGTAATATATGAATTGTTTTAATGACAGTTTGTCTGGCCACCAGAAGGCTTTGTAATGTCATCACTGACAGTTTAATGCATGCTTTGAAAGCATTTTATCTGTTGTGTTTATATGATCGGTGAAATGTTAACGGATGGTTATGAGTTGAGATGTTTGAAGTGTTCCTGAGAAAAACAGATGAAGTATTTAAATTAATACAATTCTTGATGAATCCAGGTCATATCTCTTCTTTCCCAGGTGGTGGCTAATGCTGTAGCGGCACTATCTGAAATCAGTGAATCTCACCCAAATAGCAATCTACTTGATCTGAACCCACAGAACATTAATAAGCTGCTGACAGCCCTGAATGAATGCACTGAATGGGGCCAAATCTTCATCCTTGACTGCCTATCAAATTACAACCCTAAAGATGACCGGGAGGCTCAGAGGTCAGTCTGTTTTCTTGGATAACGTCAAGGGGTCTTGCTTCAGACAGTAAGTTCTAGTATCTGCTGTTAGACTAAGGGTTCGTTACACTGAGGAAGATCAATGGCTTGTGGGTATGTATTATTCTCTCCAAGACGTTTTCTCACTGGCTTTAGGGACATTTTAGATGGTGGCATAGACCATGGCAAACTGACTCCCAAGAGTTGCACATTTTTTATTTTGTGCTTGAACAGTACAGTTACCGCTTCTAAAATCATCACCTTCTCTGTCTCACATCTCCCGCAGTTTGGGGCCATTTGACAAACTAATGTCTTTCTCTGAAAGACAAACTTTATTTTATTGGATGAGTAGGATGCAGCTGGATTACTAGTTACTGAGCTTAGTGACACCTGTAATTCAATATCAGAGGAAGCCCATTGGCTCCTAGGAATGAGAACTAAAAGAATGCATAATGCCGTCCATTAGGTATAGCAGTCACATCTGTTTGAATTTGGAACCGAGTTTGAAAGGCACGCCAGGATGGTTCTGATGTTAGCAGCTCAGTCCTCTATCACCTTACTATTACCAAGTTTCTGCGGCTATCATAACTGACTACTAAAATTCACATGCACATGCACACAGTTTATAGAGTTGAAACTATCACCAGTTTTTTACTGCACATGTTGTATAGCTAGGCACTGTACTAAGCAAGGAACTGCTGAAGAATTGTTGGATCATCATTAAAGTTGGCATATTTTAAGTATGGTAGAGAAGAACCTTCCTTGCCTGGCTGAAGCTGATTTCCAAGCTACTTTAGTGTAAGTGCTCTTTCCGTGCCTGGGAAATCGTTCCCTCCGGACTAAGCTCACCCTGATAGTTTCTTTCCATCATTGAAGAACAGATGCTTTCTGGAAAGAACTTTACCTAGAATTTTATTTTCTGCTGATTATTAGCATAACTCACTCACTCATTGATTCAGCAGTTACTTCCTGAGTCCATAGTATGTGCCAGGTACTATTCTAGGCCCCAAGGAGATAGCAGTGAGTGTGGAGCACTTATTCCGAGGGATAGAAGTGGGGGTGGGGGACAGTACCCAAAATATTATATGGCCTATAACATGTTAGATGGTGATAAGTACTAAGGAAGAAGATGAGGTAGGAAAAATATCTAAGGAATGCTGAGCATGTGAGTATGAGAGGTTATAGTTTTTAAAATGTGACTTGGGAAGGTCTCATGCAAAGGTAGTATTTGTGTAAGGATGAGAGCAGTCAGCTCTGTCGATAGGAAGAGTAGAGAGAAGTATGGCCTACTTGTATCCTTCATTGAAAAAAGTCAACTAGTTGTTCAAGAGCTATTAGAGTTCAGTGAATTTCTGAAAAATCCTCAGCAGATAAATAAATACACAAGATTTCTTGAGACATTCATATGCAGGAGACATGGGGTGGGAGAAAGACAGAAGGTTGATGTTTAACGGTTGGTATTTTAAAAAAGCAACAACAGAACAAGACTTTCGAAGTTTCGGTAATAACCCTAAGGGTAGTTTTGTCTACTAACCCACCTCCTCCATCTCAGAGTTAAACCCTCAGCCACAAGTTAGTTGATTTTCTCACTATAGAGCAGACTTTGCTTAATTTGACTTTAGATAGGTTGAAGAGATATGGGCTGAGAGTCAGGGATTCCCCTTACATTTGTGGGGAGACAGTGAACGATAAAACAGGAGGGTAAATGGTGTGAGCTTCAAGGTCTGGATATTGCTAGTTTCTGTCCATTATTACTGGTGTCCTGGGATCCCTGCTCCCCCTGTAGTTGGCTGGGAATGAGGCGTCTGCAGTGTTGATATTCGAATTTCTTGGTATTTGAGGCATGGGACTGATAGAATGGATAGGGTAAAGACTTTGCAACTCAAGATACTAATATTTCTTTTCTGCCCTCAGCATCTGTGAGCGGGTAACTCCTCGGCTCTCCCATGCCAACTCAGCAGTGGTGCTCTCAGCAGTAAAAGTCCTTATGAAATTTCTAGAGTTGTTACCCAAGGACTCTGACTACTACAATATGCTGCTGAAGAAGTTAGCCCCTCCACTTGTCACTTTGCTGTCTGGGGAGCCAGAGGTGCAGTACGTTGCCTTGAGGAACATCAACTTAATTGTCCAGAAAAGGTTTGGAAATACTGAATTGGTGATTGAAGTATTTATGGTGTTGAATTTAGTTTAATATCAATCCTAATAGGCTGCCGTTAGGCTCTTTTGACTGCATGGAAATGAAAATGATATGTGCAGGGCAACGTGGATCTGGGAGCGCTCCTGTAATCGGTCAATACCCGGAGCTGCTGTACAGTGAGCTCTGTTGGCTTTTTGAAGGGTCTCTTTCTGGTCTACTAGCAGCTGAGTTGAGACCTTAGTCACCGCACCACCATGGTGTGCTATATAGAACCTGTTTAATAATAACGTTCAGTCTGTATTTTTGAGTGTGTTGTTGAAGCAATCCTTGGCAGCATTTACCCAGATCTGTAAAAAAGATGAAAATAGTCAAATGGAACAAGAATAGAGGGATGTAGAGGAAATGTGTGACAGTTTTGGGGGGAAGAGGAGATGGCAAAAAGGGACAGAGGAGGTATTAATACAGACTCAGAATAATCTACCGCTGTACGCTTTCCCCTTCCTTACCTTGTGTTTCTGTGTGCCATAGGCCTGAAATCTTGAAGCAGGAAATCAAAGTCTTCTTTGTGAAGTACAATGACCCCATCTATGTGAAATTAGAGAAGTTGGACATCATGATACGGTTGGCATCCCAAGCCAACATTGCTCAGGTCAGACGTCAGCCAACTCAAGTTTATAATGGCGTAGATACTAAGGCCTGCTCTTCAGAAGAAGCTAGGCTGCGAGATTGCTATTTGAAAATTTTTATTGATTGTCCGCTTCTGGGATCTTACCAGGTACTGGCAGAACTGAAGGAGTATGCCACCGAGGTGGATGTGGACTTTGTCCGGAAAGCCGTGCGAGCCATTGGACGGTGCGCCATCAAGGTGGAGGCAAGTGTCTGATGGAGCTGTGACTGGACATCACAGCACCCTCTTCATTCGTTTCTCTTCAAGATACTTTTCAGTGACTCAAAATAATAAAACACATAAAGTGGGAAAACTTTAAAAACAGCTATCCTGATGAACCCCTCAGGACCAGTGGTGAGAGTGGCCATACTGGGAAGGTGGGGTAGAAATGGGGAGCCAATCACAAGGATATACATATAACCCCCTCTCCCTGGGGGATGGACAGCAGAAAAGTGGGTGAAGGGAGCCGTCGGACAGTGTAAGATATGACAAAATAATAATAATTTATAAATTATCAAGGGTTCATGAGGGAGGTGAGGTGGGGAGGGAGGGGGAAAATGAGCTAATACCAGGGGCTCAGGTGGAAATAAAATGTTTTGAGAATGATGATGGCAGCAATGTACAGAAGTGCTTGACACATGGATGTATGTATGGATTGTGGTAAGAGTTGTACAAGCCCCAATAAAATGATTAAAAAAAACAAAACAGCTGTCCCTTGCAGTTTAGCACTGACAAAATGCTCAACTTTCTTCTAGTTCTTTAATGTCCCTCGTCCTCCCCCATCATGTCCCCAATTCTCGCTTACAAATACGGCTAGATCAGAGCATGTACACTGGTACAGATAAGAGTTCAAAACGGAATCCAAGACACAGATAAACCCCTCAGGACCAATAATGGGAGTAGCGATACCAGGAGGGTAAGGGGAAAGTATGGGAGAAAGGGGAAACTGATCACAATGATGCATATATATCCCCGGGGGACGGACAATAGAAATGTGGGTGAAGGGAGACAGCGGATGGTGTAAAACATGAAAAAAACCAAACGTACAAATTATCATGTGATCATGAGGAGGGGACGAAATGAGTTGATAACAGGGCTCAAGTAGAAAGAAAATGTTTTGAAAATGATGATGGCAACATATGTACAAATGTGTTTGGCACAAT